ACGCTCACGCTACCATGCTATTGCTCACACTAACACTACCATGCTTATGTTCACGCTACCATGCTAACGCTCAAGCTACCATGCTAACGCTCACGTTAATGCTACCATGCTAACGTTCACGCTACCATGCTAACACTACCGTGCTAACACTACCGTGCTGACGCTACCGTGCTAACGCTACCATGCTAACGCTACCATGCTTATGCTACCATGTTAACGCTACCACACTAACACTACCATACTAACGCTACCATGCTAACGCTCACGCTACCAGGACGTCTCCACTGATAGGGGAGTGAGCTGAGGGGGGGGGCAACATGCAGGTGAAAGGCTGGAATATTGTAATGAGCTAGATAATATATAATAATATTAATATTATAATAATAATAATATTATAATGAGCTAGAGCTAATGAGGTCAGAAACTACCCACTCCTGAAACCTCCTGATTTATCTCCTGGATTCAGACTGAGGCGGCCCACAAAAACATGACCCAGTCATTTTTTTTCACACTCTGCCTGCTGATAGGCCCTCCACAGTCCCAAATGTACACAATCACATTATTAAAAACTAGGTTTTGCAGAATATGTCCCCCTTAAAGTTGTATTTCCTTTTGGAAAAAGGAAATACAACTGGATCATGCCACATCTGGCTGCAGAGCCTTTCTTTGGTCTGGAGGCTCAGCAGAAAGCTTCCTCCTCTCACTTTGCACATCCACAAACGCAGAAAGTGCTGCCCTCCGCAGCAGCTTTGGTTTCTTCCAGGGTGGGGTCAGCGTGAGTGTGGATTCAGCTCCAGGAGGTGTGTATTCTGAGTCGGCCGGGCTAGGGTTACCATACTGTCAAACACATTCTTCCCCAGCAGGCACCCTGGGGCGCTCCCTCGTGCACAGATCCTGGCATGTGCCTCCTGGTGTCCGGTTCCTGTGGGTGGGCTGCCAGCTAAGCACCATGTCATCTCCAGGGCTGGCATTTTGAACCTGCAGCTCCGGCCCGCTGACAGCCGGGAGAGGGCCGGCCCGGACCAGGTGAAGCTCTCCGAGCAGCCTGAGGAACAAAGGAGCCCCAAAGCAGCTCCAAAGCGGTTCTAAAGCAGCTCCAAAGTGGTTCTAAAGCAGCTCCAAAGCGGTTCTAAAGCGGATCCAAAGCAGCTCCAAAGCAGCTTTTTTAAAACAGCTCCAAAGATGCTCCAAAGCAGCACCAAAGCGGTTCCAAAGCGGTTCTAAAGCAGCTCCAAAGCAGCACCAAAGCAGCACCAAAGCGGTTCTAAAGCAGCTCCAAAGCGGTTCTAAAGCAGCTCCAAAGCGGTTCTAAAGCAGCTCCAAAGCGGTTCTAAAGCAGCTCCAAAGCGGTTCTAAAGCGGTTCTAAAGCGGTTCCAAAGCAGCTCCAAAGCAGCTCCAAAGCGGTTCTAAAGCAGCTCCAAAGCGGTTCTAAAGCAGCTCCAAAGCGGTTCTAAAGCAGCTCCAAAGCGGTTCTAAAGCAGCTCCAAAGCGGTTCTAAAGCAGCTCCAAAGCGGTTCTAAAGCAGCTCCAAAGCGGTTCTAAAGCAGCTCCAAAGCGGTTCTAAAGCAGCTCCAAAGCGGTTCTAAAGCAGCTCCAAAGCGGTTCTAAAGCAGCTCCA